TTGATTCAGATGAACACTTATGCATACAAGCAGGGCAGTTCCCTTGATTATCAGAGGGATGACACACATGCTTAGTGGGGCCATTGGTGTTGGAGGTATGGTCTTCTCTCTTGGGGGTGGTGAATTCAGCTGGATGTGTCAGCTGGAGGACGAGTTTCCGTTTTGATGGTATTAAAGTGGCTTTCGTGTCTCTTGCTATGGTTCCCAGTAGCTCAGAAGACTAATCCAAAGCTCTGGTAATTGTATCACATCTTCTATGTAGCTCTGAGTACCCAAGCAGATGCCTTGAATTCAACCTGATCAGCTGGCATTCCCAAAGTTACATGCAAGGCATTTATGCTTGAGCACAATGAACCTCACAAAGTTACAGCTTGTTAGTACAGCTGTCAATAATGAACACAGAAAGCAGAATTGCAGCTGAGTGGGGATTGTCTGCTGTGATGATCCCACAGTCACACTGACATCAACGGGATGGCCACTGCAGAAATCTACATCTGGAGTTTGAGAAGTATTCAAGTATCTGTTCTTCTAACACACCTTCCAGGCACCTTTGAGCTCAGGAGCCAAGACAAAGCAAAATCCCTGCTCAAAATAGGCAAAGGAAAGCTAAAATTGGACAGGATTGATCTACCCATTGACAAGACCACCTAATGCCATTTCAGCGGGTCTCAGTCTTGCAGCATGATGAAAGGAGGACGACATTTTTATAGACCGTGGTGTGGTATCAGCAGGGTCACCCGGCAGCCAGTAACAGATCTGTCACCTACAAGAAAGGTCTTGTAGAGGCATATGAGCTCCGTAAGTTCTGAGACAGCCTTTGTTCCCTTGTTAAAATGAGTGAGGAATTCATAATGCTTTAATTGTATTTCTCCACAAATGCTCGATTTGCTGGGACACTTTCTGCTTCAGTGTCATCTGTTGCTCTATTTTTGTCTTTTTTTTACTACCATGTTACCCAGAGCAATTCACAGCAGCCAAATGACAAGCTTCCACGCTGAAAAAAAGGCTTCTGGCCTTTCTGTCAATGACTTTATTAGGAGAACTGTCTCTTCCCATTCATCAACCTAATTTTTTAAGCATAATGCCTTATAAATGTTTCAGGCAGAAACAATGTCAAACAATACATATGAAAAGAGAGAGAGACTAGGCTGCAGGCAGGAGGAGAATTATCATTTCAAAACAGCAACATATAAACAACTCACAGGTTTACACCTAGTGTCATGTCCTTTAGTTTAGATGGGGAAGGCATCCTGCTCACTTTGCAAAGGATGTCCGGCCAGACCTCTCAGCAGGGTGACCAGGGATTTCATGAGCTTCTTGTCTGGGACCTCCAAACACTCAAAAGAAGACCCCTTTCCAGAAGAATGCCAGGGGCTTTGGGGATCATGGAAATATTTCTTAGGGTCGCTTAAAAGTCTTGGCAAGGAAAGCAGAGAAAGCTTTAGAAAGAATTGGTCATTCAGCTCTCCTCAAAGATTTTCTTCAAGCATCTGCTACCCATCACAGCTTTAATAAAAGGCTTGAACAGAGAGGCTCGTATTCACAGAAGTTAGGTCGGACTTGTCAGGTGAGGGTAAATGCACAGCACCGAAGCTATTTGAGCCTTTGAATAAACTGAGGTAAACAGTTTCAACCCCCAAAATGGAGGGAAAGTCTGAAAATGCTGGAACATTTCAATTTGACATTTCTGAAATGTCACGTTATGTTATGGAAAATTTTGCAACATTTTGGGCTGACCTCTTTAAAATGAAACTTTGTACAGTTTCAAAACAGTATTTTTTCACTTAAAAATAGATGGAAACTCAAAGGGAAAAGAAACCATTAACCAAAATGTCAAATAACCTGTAAACCTGACAGTATACCTTGATTGGATTCAATAAAAGAGGTCGGATCTACCCAAAATGATGTGCTAAGTGACCCAAAGGGATTCAGAAGGCTGATTTGTCGAGCACTAATAGCCTTTTTTCTGATAGGATCTTCAACCTAGTGACAAACCTGCTTACAAAGAACAGCTTTTTTTCTTGATGAGCTCTTTGAGGACAGCCCTGACCTTTGTGAAAGGATTGCACCTATGGTGAAAATCCAGCTTGCCGTTTAAATTTTCAGCCCAGCCAAAACCAGATGTCTTGTATTAGCCACATGCTGCCATAGAGTTGCTGAATTTTGCAGCTCCCGTCATTACGATATAGCTTGGTTTTGCTTGGGGAATAGGCATGCACTTTCACAGAAGTCCTAGTTTCCAACTAATTACCTAATCTGAGTGGGTTTTGTTCTTTTAACATAATGTTCAACCTTTGTGACTTAACAAAATCAAATCCTTCCTATATCAAATTCTGAATGCAGAGTGTATAGGTAAGGGCACATGGGAGGAACAACTTTATGTTCCTCCTTTAATACATTCAGAAAGGTTTCCATTGAGATGGAGAAATCACCAACACAGAAACCACCCTCCACTAGTGTAAGACTAGTCTGAAAGAATTTGCTTAACACTAAAAAAATTCTTTGTTGCTATTTCGTAATTAGCAAAACAATCCCCGATGTTACTATATGCAAATTACAGCATTTCTGCAGGTTTAAGCTAAACAGATCTGGAAAACAGTTATTACACAAAATGCAACTGAGGCCAATTTTAATAGGTTAGCATCTGGCAACTAATACGCAGTTTTTCCTGAACTTTTTTTTAAACATGGATCAGATCTTTGGTATCTCTGTGCGTTTTAAGGAACTCCCTTGGTTTTGGTACCCATCCAACAGCTTATGACTCAGACCCTTTGATGCCTGACACGGAGAAGCGATACTCTGTTTGCAGGCTTCCACGCCAGGGATGCCTGTGCTCTAGCAAACTCCATGTGGGAAATGAGGACAAGAAATGTCTCATGTAGATCAGAGAGCCCAGTCAGACCCAGTCTCACCACCTTTTCCTTATTGTGGTAGAAAACGTGAAAACAATGGTCATTAAACCTGAAAAGAAACCAAGACATCTAAATGCAGGCAGTGGTCAGGCTGTTCACTTGTCTTCACAGTGTCTGTGTCTTGGGTACTGCTAGCTGAAAGATGAAACTTGCCTACTTAGACAAGTCCAGTCCTCTACTTAGGACTGGCCACCTAAGCCCATGATCAAACACCACAGACAGAGAAGCAGATGCAGTGATTCAAGTCTTCAGAGCCAAAATAGGTGCAAGTACAGAGAGCGGTATCTGTTGCAGACCCTTCTTGGTAATTGCTGCCAGCCACAACACTGGGACCTCAGGCATCAAAACAAACTCAGCCTTCCTTTCTGACACGTTTTTTGTGTCAAATGATAAATGTTTTCACAATGCCACTGTGGTTAAAATTGCTCAGAAAAAGAAAAAAAAATCTATTTTAGCTAATTTAAAAAAAAAAGTATTTCAGATAAAAATAATGAGTAAGGAAAATATGCCACCAAATTTTGGTTAAAAATGAGGTCACATTTATGGCGTGCTACTCTGCGAACTAGTGTAAGGCAGGATGTGTTAGACTGGTGTGTTCTCCACTTTCACTAAACAGGCCCATCCTGGATGCCCACAGTGCCTGTAATGGACATGCTCTGTGCACCCCTGGGTGCCACAGGCACCCCAGTCTACTCAGAAGCCTGGCCTGAAATGACAAAGCCCTGCATCCATCCAGGCATTTCTGCTCAATTAGAGGTGGGGACGGGGTAACGTGCACTACCAGGGCCTTTGCCAGGCCCCTGGGGCTGACGTGCCAGATGGTAAAAAGGCACTGTTTGTCCAGTCATTCATACCCAGCCTGGAAATGGATTTCTGTGAGCTCCTCTTAGCAGACTCAGCTCCGGCCTCACTAAAGCAATATTTGCTTTTGTTACTTCTATCCCCTGAAAAGCAAAGCCCCAGCTATGAATATTACTGTGCTGAATACTTAGCCGGTATTAATTGGTCCTTCATGCTTGACTCTGAGCGTAATGCAGCCAGGACTGGTGCAAGAATGAAGATCCAAATGCCCTACTAACAAAGGGCTTCATTCACTACAGCCTCTTCAAGCTAAGTGCCTTAATTTAAGTAGTAAGGAATACAAACAGCTATTCTAATGGGCTTAAAAGTGGCTGCAAAAGTAAGCACTCTTCCTAATCAGAATTATGTTATCTGTGGAGTTTTACGGTACTTCTATCCATTTGTTTCTTCCCTTCCCTGGCAAGACTGTGGCTGGCAGCCAGATGATTGATGAACCAATTTAATACAGTCTTTGGGCAGCAGTGAGACCAACAGGTTTGATAAACAGAGCAGGGGACGAGTGCAAGACATGCGATGAATTATGAGTGGGGGATAATTCATCACAT